AGCTCAAGCAGACGGTCAAACATGTCGTGTACCACGCTTGCCATTTCCAGGATTCGGGAGAAGTTCTGCACGCACACACAGCACATAACCCCACACTCTTGTGAGCATTTGAAAAAGCTGGCCACGCTGAAGGGCCACCGGGTCTCATGGGACACCCTCGGCTGTCACCACGTTCACTCCCAGGCCCGGACAGAGAAGAAACACTCCAACGTGCCTTCCGTGCATGGAGGCGTCGTCAACGTCACTAGACTGATGTTTGGACATGCCCCCCACCCTTGACAAGCTGTCAGCGTTTTCCACTGCACAGCTCCAGGAACACAAAGCAGCACAGAAACAAACACCATCTCCAACAGGTGAACATTTAGTTGAATTAAAAGAATGTGAAAATGAGGCCCTGCTGTTAGGTCAGTGGGTGTAAAGCCTCCGTTACCAAGATGAACAGATCTTAGAGATCCCTCGGGGAGGAGGGATGGCAGAAGATGGTTAGCGGTAGTTGCAGGAAGCCCTGCTGGGCACCAGAAGGGATAACAAGGTCAAAGATAACTCATCTCCTAGAGTCTGCAGCACCATTCGGTGTGAGAAGAGGCAGCCCGCATTCTATCCCGGGCCACAGAAGAGGCAGCAGGGAAGAGCAGTTCGAATGGAGAAGACCTGGTGGGAATGTCGTTCATCTTACACTGAAACTCGTCCTTCAGCCATTCTCAGTGGTGTTGGGAATCCCCGCGGGCCCCCCGTGGCTGGCCCCTGCAGCGTGGCAGCCTCATTGGCAGACCCTGCCCGAATCCCATTCCCCAGCACAGAGCCGTGGCGTGCCCAGCTCCAGGCCGCCCGCATCTTCCTTTGTGTGCCCTCCCCACCTGGTCATGCCATCTCTGGCCCAGCACATGCGAATTCTCCTGAAAGTCAACCTGCCGACAGCAAAGGACTGACCGGCCACAGCCAATTCACCAGTGGCAGAGTGAATCTACCCAATGACCGCCTTACTTGCTGAACAGTGAATTCACTGAAAACTATCAGAAAACTACAGTAGAACCATCGTAACCAGTCTCTGCTTCCCTGACTTGCTAAAGTGACAGATGTTCTTCGTTCCCTCTGCGAAAGCCCTGACGGATGTCTGTAAAATGCTGAACATTCATGGTCAATGACAGGATCCCCTCCAGAGTGCCTTGTATTAAGAGTCCCCTCAGCTGAGCTGCACATTTACCAAGAGTCAGCCTTGTTCTGTAAATGCTTGTACTTATTATTATAGTTATTTACGTTAACTCGATTAGCTATTACATAAATAAACCAGTGAAATAATGAGTGCAAAAGGAGAGGCGATAACTCTCTGAGATGACTCTCTTTAGAAAGCTTCAGTCAAGGGGCGCCTGGCTGGCTCAGTCAGTAAAGCGGGTGACTCTTCACCTCGGGGTCATGAGTTCAAGCCCCATGTTAAATATAGAAATTACACAAAAATAAAATATTTTTTAAAGAAAAAAGGGGCGCCTGGGTGGCTCGGTTGGTTAAGCATCTGCCTTCGGCTCAGGTCATGATCCCGGGGTCCTAGGATCGAGTCCCATGTCTGGTTCCCTGCTCAGCGGGCAGTCTGCTTCTCCTTCTCCCTCTGCCTCTCCCCCTGCTCATGCTCTCTCTTGTGCATGCATGTGCTCTCTCTCTCTCAAATAAATAAATAAGATCTTAAAAAAAAAAAGAAAAGAAAGCTTTGGTCAAGACAAACCACGAAGGAAGAAAAGAAAATCCAATCAGGGTGGGCACATCAACTAGGAAAGAACAGCACAGCACTCAAAGCTTCAGGGGCTCCAAACTCAGGCGGGGTCACAAGTGTCTACGTTTCACTTCACTTTAAGGAAACAAAAACTGGAAATCGCTAACTGCCACGGGTATATGCAGAAAAGAAGCAGACTACAGTGCGGAGACCCATACTCAAGGAACGTAGCCCCTGGCCCCATGTCGGAACCCCAGGAGTTTAGGGGACAGGAAAACTCTCTAGATACTCATGTATTAGGCACCAGTCAGGAGAAATTACCTATTGGTCAGATTCCTACCCAAAAATTATTTGTTTAAACTTAAAATATTTAAGTATTTAAGTATTTACATATTTAAAGCCAATATTTTTGCTAACCAACTACCATCAGTAGGAGGGCTTCTCACGTTCCTTAAACCAGGACACTCTGCCATGTTGTGGCCAAAGGCAGGGACAGGGCATGAGCCAGGCACAGTGAGAGACGAGGACAGCAGAGAGAGGAAGGAACACAAACAAGTGGAGCAACAGCAAACTGTATTTGAGGAAAAAAATCAATGGAAAAGGATTAACTATTCACTGGTCAAAAATGGTGGAAAATATTGGCTATTTGATGAGTGTGCTTCATCTGAGATTGGCACTGAAAGTGACAGTCCCTGCACCTGGCCTAGACCGTATGGGACGTGCGTCTCAGTCCAGACCAGGTACATGGCACTTGACAAGGCACCGGAGGGTCCATGAAGTTCACAGAAGCCTCCCCACTCTGCTGGCTGCCCCCAGATGTCTGCGGCCTGGAAACCCCTTTCCCAACATGTGCTACGGGACGCAGCGCGCTGAGACGGTGGGAGGGCCGTGGGCTCGGGCAAGCTGAGGAGGGAAAGCACGGTGAGCCAGAAGATAAAACCCAGAAACGAATGAACTGCCGTCCGCTCACCCTGTTCTTTCTCTTTCAGACAGACGATATTGGTGAGGATTCATGTTGTGCACCAACACTTCTGGGCTACAGTTTTGCATTGTATTTAAAACAACGGGGCACCTGGGTGGGTCAGTGGTTAAGCGTCTGCCTTTGGCTCAGGTCATGATCCCAGGGTCCTGGGATCGAGCCCCGCATCGGGCTCCCCACTTAGCGAGGAGCTTGCTTCTCTCTCTCCCCTCTGTTCCTCCCTCTTGCTCATGAACTCTCTCTCAAATAAATAAATAAAATCTTAAAAACAATTTTAAAAAAAGTTTAAAAAATAATACAAAAACAAATAATGCATGGAAAAAATGAAAGCCAATCAAGTCAGTTTCTGTAACAGGATGAGTTTAAAAAAAAAAAAGGAAAATAATTAAAAAGAAGCTTATAAAGAGGGAAAAATACATAACAAATAATGTTAAAAAGATAAAAACAGCATATAAAAATCACACATTTAATATACTCTCAACTGCAGACAGATTAAACGTATAAAACAACAGATAAATAGTGCAGGTCTCCTTTTCCTCATGCCCAGCCTTGCGAACCAGTGTACACAGGGCACTCACAGCACATCTCCATTCCGACTAGAGGCCCGTGGCCCTGCCCCGGCTCGGCACAGGTGAAGGAAGTTGGTGGTTGTCCCAGAAAGAAGGAAACATAGATGACTTTTATGTACTTTTAGGGCTTCCCCCCCCAATTTTCTACGGTGATCTTGTTGAAAATGCAGCACTTATGGCCCCACGCAGACCTAGCGGACCCTTACGGCCCCACGCAGACCTAGCGGGTCAGAAGGTTCGTTTTCACAAGATCCCCAGGGATTCGGGGAACGTGAAGGCTGCTCTATACAGCAGCAGCCAGCTCTCACGCAGAGCATCGATCCGCAAGACCCCGCTCTAAGCACTCGAGGCCTCACGGTTATCCTAGCGCATGGCCCCACCGCGACAGCCTCTCAGGAACGCTGCGTCGGCAGCACAGAGACACTACGGTTACCGTGCAGTCATACAAGGACGTGGCCGAGTGAGTGGCAGCTGAGCTCTGTGTCCCGCCGCCTCCCTGGACCCCGGCTCGGGAGCAGGCTTCCGCTTCCCGACAGAAGCTTCTCTGATCCGCGAGGTAGACTTGCCTCGGCTTTGCGGCCACACCACCAAAGTAGTATTGTTGAGAAAAGACTGCATTTGAATCCAAAGAAGCTGTTACAATTTTTGCCTTTTCCTGCCTATTGTATGGTCTTGAACAAATCACGTATATTCATTGATCCTAAATTTCCTTGTCTGGAAACTGGGTATTCATACTCTTCACATGTAGGAGCTCTCTGAGTTCAAGCTGTGAGGATTACATGAAATTACAAGTGAAAAAGTAACAAGTCTGGTGTGTAATACACGGTAGGGACCCAGTGAGTGCTAATGTCCTCTATCCCCTTCTAAATGATAATTAACAGGTGTCTACTGGACACCAGCCACCATGCTGGGGCGCAAGCAGAGCTGGAGGTAAATGGGACCCGGCCCCACTCTCCTGCAGTCCTTGTCCTGGTGGCGAGATGAAGAAATGACTCATACAGGGGGCGCCTGGGTAGCTCAGTTGGTTAAGCATCTGCCTTCGGCTCAGGTAATGATCTCAGGGTCCTGGGCCCAAGCCCCACATCAGGCTTCCTGCTCAGTGGGGGTGTGCTTCTCCCTCTCCCCCTACTCCTGCTCTCTCTCTCATGGCTCTCTCTCTTATAAATAAGTAAAATCTTTTAGAGATTTTACATACAGAAAGCAAACATTACAAAGAATTTCCAAGTCACTGAGTTTGTTCTGATTTTGAATGAAAGTCAAATTTTCCCAAGTAAGCAAATGAGCCAACAGCAAAAGGCAGAGAAAGCTAAATGGCACATGTGAGCATCCCAAGACTGCAAAGGTGGCAAAAGAATGCATAACATCACATATGTGTATGTATGTTTTATCCCAGAAGAAGCGTAACAATGAATATTAAAGTTGTAGACTATGGTATTCAAATCCAGAGTTAGCCCAAGAGAGGGTCAAGTCCCCCAGTGGCTCTGTGCCATTGTGCCTGCTAAAGCCTCTGGTTGAAAAAGAAAAAAAAATCTAACTTAAGAACAGATTTCCATGGACCTATAGCTCCAGCAATTTTCAAGGAGACACCAGCCTCCCATTTGGCTATTACCAGCAGCCCTAGAAACCCACTCAAAGGAGAGACTCTAGCAAGAGACGGCCTCCTTTCCTCCAGATCTGGGCTGTTACCACCTGCCTGGAGCCCCGAGTGGCCCAGGGGCCCAGCAGCTCTGCACGACCGTGCACTCACCAGCCACGGCTGAGGGATCTCCGGCAAAGGCATCTGGGGAGGAGCCGGCAGGCTGTTGGGGGTCTCTTGCCTCTGAGCATGGTCCTTCACTTCGAAACCTGTAAGCAACAACCAAAACCACAGAACTGGATGAGGAGGAGAAGGGCGTGGACGGTGCCGCCGGCAGCTATCCCTCCCTCAGCCCCATAGTGAACGCCGGGCAAATATCTGTTTCCTTTAAGCCCGTACAACAATCCTATTACTCTTCTCCAGGTGGGGAATCTATGGCTCGAAAAAACAAAAAGAGGTTGCAGAACTAGTCGAAACATTAGCGGTGGAAATGATGGAGCCGGCACGGAAGCCTGCGTTCCTCCAATGCTACCCGGCCTCGGAAAGGTGAGCTGCCCTGCCTGAACTTCCACTCCGGTCAGGACTAACCCATGGACTAAGGGGTGGGGGTGGCCCCGGGAAGCAGTACGTTTGTATCAGGCGCCCTCTTGAAGTCAGACACTGGGACATACGGGTCCCTGCGTGTGCCGGCTGCCTTAAGCTCACGCTCCCAGCGCAGCCGTACTCAAGTTGAGAAGACAAGTATGTACCCAAGTAACTTAGGACACGTGGTGAGCACTGTGTCAGCAAAGGCAGGAAAGGAAGGAACCGGCTTTAATCTGGGTGCAGGACTATTTCCAGGCCAGACCCCCCCTGGCAAGACCCACCAGAACAACCGCTCAACAACAGTCACCCGTACCAGGTCACGTGTGATACGCCGGCAGGGAAAGGGCTATGAAGACACAGAGCCTGACCGCCAGAGGTGCAGTGGGGAATTCTGGCAGAGAACTGGGCACAGTAAAAAAAGGAAAGAGAAAAAGAACAAATGGGAATTCTACCACCAAAAACTATCAGCGGACAGGCTCAAGGCTAATGAAAGAGCTCCGAGGAGAACGAGTGAGTTGGAAAGCATCGGGAGGCACATGCGGAGAGACAGAGGGTGGGAACCTATCGGGCAGAGGAAGAGGAAAGTTGCCCCCGGGAAAGCCAACAGCAGACCCTGAGGCCAGAGGCCCAAGCGGCGCGGTGCGTCCAGACCAGCAGTGGGTGCTGGCCGAGCAAAGGGAACAGGCTGAGGGCGGAAGGCTGGGAAGGAGGGCCACCTCAACTAACAGGAGCAACAGGAGAGTGGAAAGTCGTGGTGACTGCAGATCGACCGCGGGTCAGGTACTGTTTGGAGGCACTTTCTGTCGTCTCCTCTGACCCCCAAGACATCCCTCCAAGGCGGAAGCTCCAGGGGAGGAGAGAAGCGGACAGAGATGGAGTAACTGGAGCATGGTCCCCCACTATCCCATCAGCTCCTTAAAGGCTTTGTCCTCCTGCGCCTGGAAACTGCCAGCACCTGGCACGCGGGGAGACCCTCAGGGACAGTGGGAGGAACAAGTATGCTAATGAGCAAAGGAACGTGTCTGAGAAAGATGGTGGATGCGGGATGGTTTAGAGACAAAGGAGACTGGAGGAAGAAAGAGCAGAGGCACCTTTGGATGACTGTATCCTCAGCAGGATGTCGGTGATCACTGCCTTTTTCTCCCTGACGGTTGACGTTAGATATTCATGGTCCAGGAGCTCCAGAAAGAGACGAAGTTCAACTATTAACTCTTCCATTGCTGCAAACGGAGGAGAGGGAAGGGGACTGTTAGACCCAGTGGGGTGCAAATGCCACAATATAAATGCATTTCACTTTAGCCTAACTGGATACGGTATTCTAGCGTGAAGAGCAAGTTTGCCGAAGCCAGGTCGACTAAGATTCATGCGTCATCTTCTGGACAAACGCACTGCTCCTTTGCTTTTGCTCTGAGGCAGTCATTTTCATCTAGGAGACGCTCCAAAGCCATGCTGCCAACAGATGGAGTCATGACCCAAAAGCCTGACATCATCATGGTGTCAATTGCATGATATTAAATTTCATTGTCGAGAAGGAGATGGAAGTTTAAAATGCCAAATAGTTTTCAAATAACCACCAGGACATGGTTTCAGAAACTCAACACCCAACTCTGCCTTTGCAGGGCTGGCTCCATTCCCAGGAAGGCTGTGAGCATGTTTGTGCAGTTAGCAAAGACACCGGATGCCAAGGAGGATTTGGGTGCGGACTCCTGACCATGTCTTTTCCTTCTAGGATCATGGCCGACTCAAGACCCGACTATGCGGCTGGAGTCAGCAATTTACAAATCATGGTGTGAACCTTTCGGGGACCCCGAAACTTTTTACAGCGTGCAGGAGGCCCAACTATTTTCATAACACTGACGCATTATTCTCCTTTTCCTGTGTCAGTGGTTAGGGGCTATGCTGCCAGCCTCTTAGCACAAATCAAAAGAGGGACACCAGACTAAATGAGCAGTCACTGTATTCTTCACCACGCACTGACAGTAGAAATGAAAATGTCACACTGTCACTTAAGAGCGTCTTCGATGGAGCGGTACAAAGCGCTGCTTTTATTAAATCTCAGCCCTGGAGGATGCACCTTTTTGGGATCCTGTGTGAGGGAGTATGCAAACCGCCCCTCTCCTGCCAACCGACGGACAGTTGCTGTCAGAGGAAAAGCAAGTGTGCGCTGTTTGAGGTGCACATCAGACTAAGCTGCTTTTCTCATGTGGCCCCAAAGAAGAAATGATAACACAAACTACAAGGATGCACGCTGAGTGCACTGAGTGTATGACCGACATCCTCCCAAAAGGGAACAAAGTGACCTTACCATGTCAAGGTAAACAATGACAGCACTGGTTGCCAGCGATAAAATTTGAGCTTCCAAACGGAAGTGAGAATTTTGAACACTTGTACCCACCACTGTGAGCGTGACAGCTTCTCAGCAGACACTCTCCTGATCAGATTGGGACAGACACTGGCCAACGGGCTTTTCTGATCTAGTATAATGCGGTATGTCAGCTTTTAGAAGATCCGCACCACTCCGTGAACAGTGAGGTCACAAAATCACACATCGGCGAGGATCCGTCTAACGTACAAAATAAGCGGAAATATTCTAATGTAACAGAGGATGAAGCATTCTATGATTCAGCTTCAGATTCCAAATAGCAACTAACTTTTAAGAAACTACCCCTTGCCAGTTTTTGGTGTAGTATCAAAGAAGAATATTGACAGTTTTCTGAAGAGGCACTGAAGTATTCTTCTCTATGTATCTGTACGAGCCAGATTTTCTTTATGTGCTTGCTCTAAAACAATGCTCCACAACAATCTGAATGCAGAAACAGATGCGAGAATCTAGCAATCTTTATCAGACCAGATATGGGAGATGCTTGCAGAAATAGAAAACACGCCACTCTCTCACAAATCAGGTTGTTTTGGAAAATGCAGTTACTTTTCATAAATATATTTTTAGTGAATTAATAAATATCTTAAAAATCTGCCACTTTTTAATTCGAATATGAGAAATATATACAGATGTACCCACATAAGTAAAAGCTCTTTGGAATGTTCAATATATATTTTGAGACCAAAAAGTCCCAAGCAAAAAAGTTCAGTCCATGGGATTTTTTCCAAGTCTACAACACTCTTCAGGACTAAAGATATTAACTGAGGCCATGTTGCTGTCACTACCAAAGCTCTCATAATTTTAGGTAAGTCTAGGACAGAGAAATGGCAAATGACTCCAAAGTGGGCAAGGTGTATTCCTGAGCTGTTCACTTGTCCTAACTGAATGACTTTTGCTCTATGAAATGAAGAAGTTGGATTAAATAAGTCTTTAAGGTCCTTTTTCATTAGTAAAACAACTTCTTGATGATTCTAAGGGGAAAACAATCTCATCTATACTCTAAGAATGAAGGGCTGCCAGCATTATTCATAAGAGCCAGAAGGTAGAAACAGCCCACATATCCACTGATGGATGACTAGAGAGAGCGATGTGGTCTCTATATGTGATGGGATACGACTCAGCCTTCAAAAGGAAGGGCATTCTGACACCTGCTACAACACGGATGCGCCTTAAGGACATCGTGCTGAGTGAAGTAAGCCAGTCACGGAAGGACAAATACTGTATGATTCCACTTATACGAGGTACTTAGAGTCATCGAAATCATCGAGACAGAAAGTGGAGTGGTGTTTGCTGGGGGCCAGGAGGGAGAATGGGGAGTTAGTGTTCAATGGGTATCTTCAGTTTGGGGAGGTAAGTTACAGTTGGGGAAGATGAAGCAGTTCTGGGACGGATGGTGGTGACGGCTGCATGCCAGGGTGAATGTGTTGAATGACACTGAATTGTACATTCAAAAAGGGTGAAAATGGCAAATTTTATGATACATATATTGTACCACAATAAAAAATATCAACCTCGTCCAGAAATCAATGGGTGGCCATCAGCAGAGATGTTAAAAATGCTTATGGGCCTATGCGAAACTCACAGCACCCCATCTTCATTCATATATTTTCTTATCAAAAACGCCTCTCTTGTAGATAGCCAAATCACATTTACCCTGTAAGGTTTCACTTAGGTGCCAGCTCACAGCATCAAAATGTCTGAAGAGGACCTCAGACTGAGTCTGTCCTGTCTCTGCCCCGAGCTCCCTGACAGATTTCCCATGGAGGACTCACGCAGACCCCTCCCGGCTGGGAGCTGGCCGTAACCATGGTGGGGGACACCTGCCCGGCTGTGCTCCCCGGCTCAGAGACCAGCACCTTCTGCCACACGTGGCCTCTGGGCGGCCACAGCCACCATAGCCACCTCCCACTCCCAGGTTATAACTCTCTGGGCCGCCCTAACCCAAGCTGGCCAGTCCGACTCTCCTTCCGGAGGAGTTTTGCCTGGGACTAGGAACTTGTGGGCAGTTGGGATCTCTGGAGCTGAAGACATGTGGACACAGGAACCAGGTACAGCATGTACATGCTGGAGGGAGGAGCCAGGACCAGAGGAGGAAAGGACCCGGTTATCAGCACATGGGGGAGCACAGGCAGACATGCTCAGGCACCAGAGACCGGGTGAGGCGAGAGGAAGAGACAGACAGACAGACTCTGACGGGCTTCCCGAGACCTTCCTGGGCTCTCCTTTGTCACCTGTGCACTTGAACTGCACAGCATACCTGCATTGTTCTAACAAATGTTCATTTCACTGATTTTTACTAAGCTGCCCTGCATGGTTTTCTTTTCACTGAAATCTCAGACCAAGACTGTAAAGCACAAGACAGCTCTCCCCACTGCGGGGTGCAGAACCTCCCAAATCAGAGAGTGTGATCATCAGAAAAGTTACTCCTTTTCAGGATCTTCACAGACTAAACAAGCCATATTCTACCCTTAACTGCCCCTTCAAACACTCAAAGCCCACAGTATCCCCTTTCTCCCAGCCTGCTCTCATTAATCACCCCCAACTGGCTCCTCCCCACGGGGGTCTTCCTAATTACCAAAGTTCCTTTGTCTTGCAGCAGCCAAACCGATAACCGGATATCAAGTGATCTGTGGGTCGGTTTTTGTTTTGTGGCACCATGCACACGGAAAGCTCGCGAGTCTTGACGCAGAGCTCACAAGTAAAGAACTGACACTTTCTGACGACCCACTCCCCACGATGCCCCCTCCTCCCGGGAATGCTGCAGAGGCCCTCCCCCGCTCCGACCCCATCCTCAGGGGCATGAGAAGCAAGCAATGGTTACCTGTCTGTTTGAGCAAATGCTCCCCCAGCGACCTCAAGTGCCCGCACTATGCTAGTCCCTGGACAGGTGTGAGTTCACTTTGCTCCCAGAGACCCCGATGGGTTAGATGGTGTTATCAGCCCCAGTTTACAGCTGAACAAACAGAGGCTCAGAGGGGTTGCCAAAGGCTACAAGACAAATAAGTGGCTAAATCTCTGCAGCTAATAATTTGCTCACAGCCACACAGCAAGACCACAGCAGTGAGAACCTGAGCGCAGATCTAACTCCAAAGGCCCTGCTTCAACCATTGCATGATAATCATTCCATGACTGCTTTCTGAGATGACCCCGGCCTGGTGAGACGCCACGGCCATTTTTTTAAGAGTGATAACATGGTCAGATAAAATTAAGAACACACATCCTAGAAAAAATTAGGAGGGTGATCCATTTCACCAGAGCCTCCACGGTGCCCTGTAGAGTATTATAATCATGTACTGAGCCACCTACCTCCCTCAATGGACTGCCCGTCCTGGTATGCACGGACAGCGTCCCATCATCGTTGGGTTCCTTCTAGTGCCCATGCGCTCGGCAAATGCGTGTTGAAGGTAGGGGCATGACATCCCATAGCTCACAGACATGCCACCAAGGCAAGGGAGGAACGAGAAGTTCCTGTACGCAGGCGCCTGGGTGGCTCAGTCGGTTAAGCGTCTGCGTTCGGCTCAGGTCATGATCCCAGGGTCCTGGGATCGAGCCCTGCATCAAGCTCCCTGCTCCTCGGACAGCTTGCTTCTCCCTCTCCCTCTGCGCCCCCCGCCCCATTTGTGCTCTCTTTCTCACACTCTCTCTCTCTCAAATAAATAAATAAAAAGAACTTCCTGCACCCAATTTTCAGTTTAAAATTCTTAATACGAACGTGCCTGTCCCGTAAGTCTAGTAGAGTCCAGAAGGAACTGGAACGCGTATGCTTACGAAGGGGGTGGCGCCGCACGACTCCGGTCTGCAGGACGCCCAGGAGGCATGAGGAGCCCGCATCTCGTGG